GTGCAAGAAAGTCTCCGAGACTCTTATCTCCAATTAACTGAGTTGTGGCTCAAGTGAACAGAGCCCAGGTCCTGAGTTAAAAAAAAAAAAAAAACAACCCAAAACTCCCCCATGTGCACACACACACACAAATGCAAAAATACTCATCATAGAATATTTATCAAAATGAAAATAATTGTAAAATAGTCTGGGACTGGTGGCTCACATGGTAATCCTAGTTACTGGAGAGGCTGAGATTTGAGGTTCACAGTTTGAAGCCAGCCTGTGCAGGAAAGTCCATGAGACTCTTCAATAAAACACCACAAAAAAAGCTGGAAGTGCAGTAGTGGGTGGCTCAAGTGGTAGAGTACTAGCCTTGAGGACAAAAGCTCTGGCCCTGAGTTCAAGCCCCAGGACCAGCACAAAAAATGCAAAAATATTCCTAAAGTAAAGGTCAATAAAAATTCAGGGCAGGAGGCCACTGGGTTTCACACTATGTTAGACAATCGCTCTACCACTGAGCTACAAGCTAGTAGCACATAGCACCTTAAATCAGTTCCAGTGTCTTTCACATTCTGATTCGAGAGTCTGGTTGCAATTGTTTTCAGTGCAGTTAAGAGGAAGAAATTCCTTTTTTCCCCAGATTGTTTTCTAGGGAACATAAGTTTTCATTACAGTTTTGTTTTGCTGAAGATCAGCAGCTTGAGCAAGGTCTTAGTCAATGTGTGCTACTATAACAAAATACCTGTAAATAACAGGTATTTATTTCTCAAGAATTCTGGAAGCTGGAAAGTTTGAAGTTAAGACACCAACGGATTTGGTTATCTGGTAAAGGATATTCTGTGCTTCCAAGATGGTTTCTTTTGCTGCAGTCTTTGGGAGAGTAGGAACACTGTTCTCACATGGTTGATGGAGAGTGGAAGGGCAAACAAAACACTGCATAAAACTTGAGGGCATTGGGCTGGGAAGGTGGCTCAGTGGTAGAGCGCTCGCCTTGCATGCCTGATGCCCTGGGTTCGATTCCTCAGCACCACATAAGCAAAAAGAAAAAAGCCGGAAATGGCGCTGTGGCTCAAGTGGTAGAGTGCTAGCCTTGAGCTGAAGAGCTGAGGGACAGCACCCAGGCCCAGAGTTCAGGCCCCGGACTAAAAAAAAAAAACAAAACTTGAGGGCATTAATCCCATTCAAAGTTTTATTGTTATTACGAAGGTGACATACAGAAGGGTTACAGTTACATAGGTCAGGTAATGAGTACATACTTTTAAAATTGTTCATATAAAGGTGATGTACAAAGGAATTAGTTACATAAGTCAGAGAAAGTATATTTCTTTTTTTGACAAATTTTTTATTATTATCTTTAAGTAGTTGTACAAAGAAGTTCCCATTCTATAAAACAGTATATGAATACAACAATGTCACCCTTCCCTTGCTCTCCCAGTTTTTCCCTCCCATCCCCACTCACAGTCGTATAGTTCATTTTCAACAGTGTCTAGTACCATTGCTGCATTTGTTCACCCTTTGTCCCTCCATTTCTGTGTCCCTCTCCCCGCCCCTAGCCAGATAAAACAAAAAGGAAAGAAAACCAAAACAAAGAAAAAAACACTTGTTTGGCATATGCATTATTAATCTCATAATAAAATCCCCTCCCTTCCCCAATAGTTTGAATCCTTTTTATTTTACATATTTTAAAATATTTTTTACAGGCAGTTGCTCAAAAACATGTAGACAGTATTTTTCCTCAATCTTGCTTCAGTTCCAGCAGATTTCTCAGGTCCAACACAGGGACCTGAGGGATTTTCTCCTTTCATCTCAATACCTCACCGAAGAAGACACCTCTCTGCAGGAAATAGAAGAGCCTTTTCCACCCTAGTGTCTAACCTACTACTCTCAATAAATAATAATTTTAGAAAAACAACGCCGGGCGCTGGTGGCTCACGCCTGTAATCCTAGCTACTCAGGAGGCTGAGATCTGAGGATCGCGGTTCAAAGCCAGCCCGGGCAGGAGAGACCGTGAGACTCCTATCTCCAATAAACCACCAGGAAACCGGGAGTGGCGCTGTAGCTCAAGTGGTAGAGCGCTCGCCTTGAGCTGAAGAGCTGAGGGACAGGGCCCAGGCCCAGAGTTCAAGCCCCACGACCAACCAAAAAAAAATAAATAATTAAAAAAAAAACAAACAGGAAGAGGCTGGTATGTAGTTCAGTGGCAAAGTGTTTGCCTAGCAAGTGCAATGTCCTGGGTTCGATCCCCAGTACCAAAAAAGAAAAGAAAAAATAAGTTTTAAGAAAGGAAGAAATGTTACTTCTGAATAGTCAGGTGCTGGATCAGAATTTAAGGAGGCTTTAACAGATTTGGACTTGAACAGACACCCCACCTGGTTTACTCTCATTTCACACATTATTTTTTGTCCTACCATTACTTTTGTTTTTTTTTTGTTTTGTTTTGTTTATCGGTTGTGGGGCTTGAACTCTGAGCTTGGGCACTGTCCAGTCCCTGAGCTCTTCAACTCAAGGTGAGTACTCTACTGCTTGAGCCACAGCTCCACTTCCAGTTTTCGAGTGGTTTATTGGAGATAAAGAGTCTCAGGGACTTTCTTGCCCAGGCTGGCTTTGAACTGTGATCTCAGATCTCAGCATCCTGAGTAGCTAGGATTACAGGTGTGAGCCACCAGCGCCCGGCCCATTAGTTGTTTTTAGCAATCCCCAATAAATGCCAGCATTCCCATGGACTTACTGCTAGCCTGTACGGGATAATGGATCTCTAAGCTGTAGCTGGGCTCCTCAGGTTTTCTCTCAAATAAACCAGTGCTGGTGATGAACCATGTTTGTCTATTCTCCATGTCTTTTGACTGCAACAAAGGTATCTTTTTTTAAATTTTATTTTATTTGTGAACATACTGTACAGAGGGGTTACAATTACATGGGCAGGATAATGCGTACATTTCTTACCAAGCATTGCATCCTCCTCCTTTGTTTACCCTTCACATCCCTTCCCAGCAAAGGTATCTTATAATTACCTTTTGTCTGGTGCAGGCCTGTCATCCTACTACTCAGGAGGCTGAGATCTGAGGATCACAGTTCAAAGTCAGCCTGGGCAGCAAAGTCCATGAGTCTCAATTAAGCACCAAAAAATCTGGAAGTGTAACTTTGGCTTAAGTGATAGAACGCTGGCCCTGAACAAAAATGCTCAGGGACTGGCTATGCCTTGAGTTGAAGCCTCGAATTAGAAAACAAAACAAAACAAAAAAACTGTACCGTTTAATGCCATCACAATGGTATGAAATTTCAACTCCTGAATTTTGAAAGGGGACTGAAATCAATTCAGCCTTGGCAGGCTGAAATCAATCCCATTATAAAAACAATAAAATCAGTTCATGATGTAAGCTCCAAGAAAAGGTATTTCACTAGACTGGAACAATTGAAAAAGTGTTCATTCATTCATTCATTCATTCATATTAACAAAAATCTAGAGTAGCTGCAGGTGTTAGGTACAGGTGCTAATAGCCAAACAAGATGAGTTCCCTGCTGTCCTCATAAAGAAAGTCAAGTTTTTTGTTTTTTAAGCAAGGGAATGAGAGGGAAAGAGAAACAGCTTACACTAAGCAAAAGGAAAAAAAGCTACATATCACCCGATGTGGAAGAAATAGTTGTATTGTCAAAGCTTACAGAACCAAACATTATAGGTCATGATAATGACAATTTGCCTTGTGAAGGTTAAAATGTGTTTGTAACTCTAAGTAGCACTATCCCACAATACTGTGAAATTCACGTAATCACTTAATCTCAATTTATATATATATATATATATATATATACATACATACATACATATATATATATTAAAAAGGAAGTCAGGCGCTGGTGGCTCATGCCTGAAACCGTAGCTATTCAAGAGGCTGAGATCTGAGGCTCATGGATCGAATGCAGCCTGAGCAGGAAAGTCCAAGAGACTCATCTGCAATTAACCATCAGGAAACGGGAAGTGGCTTAAGAGGTAGAGCACTCACCTTCAATGAAAGTGCTTAGAGACAACACCCAGGCCGCGAGTTCAAGTCCCAGGATCGACACACACAAAAAAGTGTAAAATCCATCCCAAACCTAAATCCTTCCAAAGGACTTTGTGTCCGTGTTAATATCTCCTAGAAATCTGGAGGGGAAAAAAACAATCGGGCGAGAGTGCTGCCGATAGTCACTTAAGGATACCGCCAAGGACTTAATCATGTTCTCGAACCTCAGAGAACTTTCTACAGTCCTTTCCCGTCTCCCGCCCCCCCCCTGCCCTCAGCTTTTTACCCTAGTGCGTCAACAGCGTGTAAATCGTCATAGGAAGGGGGGGGGCGTCAACAGCGTGTAAACCGTCATAGGAAGGGGGGCGGGGGGAGCATGTCTCGCGAGATTTTGCTACGGGATTTGGAAGTTAGGGAACAGCGGCGGCGCTTGCGTACTGGCCTCACAACCTCGGGGCAGCACGCGGGTAGGTAGGCTACAGCCCAGAGGAGGGGGGAGTAGTGTTAGTGTCTCGTTTTTTTTTTCTCCCTCTTCTTCTGCTCTTCGGGGCCGTGCGTTGTCTTGTGCGGGTCCGAAAACGGAGCGAAGTTAGCCGGTTTGCTAGCTTCCGCGGGCACACTTCACGAGTGCACACAGGGAAACCCCCTCTTGCTCCTCCACGAGTTGGAAGAGTGCCGAAGGGGTGCGCCCTGGTGCCGGCACTTGAGCTCTTCCTGCCCCCTCTGTCCTTTGAGCGTTAGTCCCCCTACTTTCACACTCCGGTCCCCTCAGAGTTGCTTCGTCCGAGTGTCCCTCACCCGGTCCTTCCGTCAGACCCCCTCGGCTTCCCGGCTAGCTCGCGTCAAGAGTCAGCTCCGTCCCTACTCTAGGGTTTCCCCCCCTCCCCCGCCCTGCTTGGAGGCGGAGAAGATGGCTGGAGGACGTCTGCTGTTGGGGGGCGACTTCCTGTCGCCGCCGCCGCTGCCCCCCCTCCCGCCGCCGCCGCTGCCGCCCCTCCCGCCGCCCCCGCCCGAGCCAGTGCTGGAGCAGTGGCGCTATAGCCACGAAAGTGACTGGCAGTGGGCTCTGCGGCGCAGCTTCATCTGTCGGCACCTGCACAGCTATCCCGGGGCTGCACTCGATCAGCTCCTCGCGCTCTCTGCTGCGTGGACCAACCACGTCTTCCTGGGCTGCAGGTGAGGAACAGGGAGCCGGGAGATGGGGGGGGGGTCGGGTAAGAAATGGGTAAGGGGTGAAGGGGTTGGTGATTGAGGATGGATGGGTTAGGTAGAGTGGGGAGGGAGTCACTTGATGGGGCTGGTTGATGAGGGACAGGGGCAAGGATGGAGATGCTTTGCTTGGAAGCTGCAAGATTTCAAGGTGCTGGAGGACACTAGGATGCTCCGTGATTGCTTAGGGATGGGGTGTCGGATCAGGGTGGCAGGGGATAGAGTAGCTTGGACGTTGCGCAGATCTGTAGCCCCTCCAGGACGAGGATTGCAGATAAAGCAGCACCTGCAAGAGGATTATTGATTATTGACAGGTAGTCATTGTGGTGGCTGATGGAATTGGAGGGCGTGGGAAAATGATGAATTGCAGACCCTTGGATCTGCGTAGGGCCTTCCAAGGATGCAGTATCTGCAGAGAATTTTCAATAGGGCTGCTGGGGACCACGATGGGGGATACAGAGCTTAGGGAAACCGCGATTCTAATCTTAATTTCCTCCTGACCACTTTCTCCTGCCGCTGCCATTAGATAAAACACCCCTCCCTCACTTCTCACAGCCCACCTAGGTGAGTCCTACTATCTTCTGGGGCTGTGATGTATGCAGCAGGTCTCTAAGCCGCAGTGTCAAGCTTGCTTAGCTTTGCGCATAATGTGTCTGGGACTCAAACAAAGAAATGGAAATACCTGCTATAAAAATGAATTGCCCTCTCTTTACCTTAAAGGAGATCACGCAGATGAACATTCAGTCATTGGATGAGGTTTTACATGTACATGTGTGTTTGTGTATGTGTTTTCACTCCTTTCCTAGAACCTTCTGAAGAGACAGGCCGGCCTCTTTGATAGCTCTTTGCATTCAATAGAGACTGCAGTATGGTTCCAACGCAGGTTTTTTTTTTTTTTCCTATGAATTGGCTGCTTAGACTTGTGTCCTTCACAACCCTCAAATTGGCCCTCAAATCATTCCTTTGATAGACTGGGAAGCTTCTTTTTTTGGACATTCCTTTCTAACTGTTGACTTTTTTTTTTATTAGGAAGGATAATAAATTCTGGAAGATGATCCAATCCAATTCTAACAATTCAGTTTTAGGAATGCACTTAAAGATGCTGAAAAATAGACTTGTCCACTACAAGTCTTAATTGAATATAGCATCCAGTGTGATGCTTTGCTTTTCTCACCAATTTTTTTTCTGTCTCCCCTGATAACTATCTCTAGGAGGTAATATTTATTTCACTGGATGAACTGGTCACTACTAGAGAAGTCTCAGTAATTGTCACAGATCCAATTGACCTTCACATAGCAATGTTCTTGCAATTGATAAAGTACCTTTGTCATATAACCATGTCTCCTTAATATCACAGAAGGCCAGAGGGAATCTGAATCCTTAAAACACCTTTAATAAGAAAGAAGAATGACCATTCTTTATTTGTTTAAAACCATCTTTTATATTATAATAAAACTTAACCTTTCATGAGCACTACAAGCTCTTTTTTGGGGGGTAAGGGGGAGGGAATTTTACTTTTTTATTTATACCATCAGCAGCAGTCCTAGAATACTGGCTGCGTAACAGCTGCCCGTTAAATGTCTGAGGAATACATGAATGTATACAGCTTTATTTTGTACAACACATTTAAAATAGTTTTGATCTTTACAACAACCTTAGGAGTTTGGAGATCTCTGATATTTACAGCTAAATCAGTGGAGGCCGAGAAGTTAAGTCACTTGTTTATGGTCCCACAATTGGAGCTAGCCAGGTTTTCTGATGTTCACAGTCTGATGCTCTTTTCACTGCGACACAGCTCCCATTTTAGGGAAGGATGGACCAGAAATGAAAGCAAGTAACTAAGAAAAGCCATAGCATTATACCTCAGGACATGAACAAAAACCAAGCCAGTGATTGCTGGTAACTGGCTTTCAGAGCAACCCAGGTATCTTGGATATTTTATGTGTGGGCATAGGTATGCAGCTCTGTCATATGTATGCAAAAATCGTGTTCCTTGCATGGTGACTAAGTCAGTTATTGAATAGCTGAAGTGATGACTCATGTTTACATTTTATCTGAATCCTGGAAGGTAGGCACCCAGTGTGAATCTACTTCAGGCAGGTTTTATGTTAGCTTTCATCTTCAGATGGGTAAAATCTATACTCGAGTACTCGATGTGGGTAGGGCTCCTGTTTTTGTGACAGATGACTCTTAAACAAACTGAAGAGTGCATAATGGCTTTAGGCTTTTTTTTTTTTTGGCTTTAGGCTTTCTAAACTTGTTTATTGTTGTTCAAGGTCCCAGTCTGATATCTAGAACACTTTATGAACCAGGACAAAACTAGCAAAAGGGCTGGTCACTGGAGGCTCACACCTATAATCCCAGCTACTCAGGAGGCTGAGATCTGAGGATCAAGGTTCAAAGCCAGTCTGGGCAGTAAATGCCTGTGAGATTCTTTTTTTGGGGG